TATTAAGAGGTTTAAGTAATTTTAGCATGAAAAATTACATCATTATAGTAAAACAACGAATAATTTTTAATATATTAAAATGTCAATCATGTGAGCTTAAATAATGCAATGTGATTGGTAATTTCAGTGATCGCTGAAATAGAGGGCTCTGGTTGGCTGATGTACATTACACTTTAATATATAGATATAACTAAAAAAAAATAAAAGATTTTAATATTAATTTTAAAAATTTTCTAATTTTACACGTAGTGTACAGTACACGGAGTATTGATTTGTCAAAACAATTTGTGTAAAAAAAAATTAAATGTTGAGGGTAAGGGTGAATTTGGGGAGAGTAGCTTTTATCAAAATTTCAGTGAATTTTTTTGGTTTCATAAGCAAAAACTTGGGTTATGAATAACTTTTTAAAGAAAGCAATAATTTTACGTTACACTTGATAGTGTAATCTGATTGGCTTTCTATATTACCTGTGTATATACACATAGTGTTCAAATAGAAATTGCTTTAATTTTATTACGTATAAAAACTATAGACTTCTAAACAAAAGTTTTTAGTAATAAATAGTAACCTTAACTCTAAATTTATTTAATTTTTGCAGGTAGCTACTAGGGTTGGATCGGTCCTGAGAAGACCAGTTAAGGACCGGTCTTTTTAACCGGTTATATGATCCTCAGCCTTCGGTCTTTTAACCAATTCAGACCGGTTAAGAATAAACTATTAAAATAAGCTTTAAATGGTTAAAAAAAGCTATAAAATAAACTTTTAAATAGTTAAAAACCATTATTGCATGAATTTTGTTTCGAGGATGATAGCTAAAAATTGACAATCACATAGCTTATTTTGAGAACCGAACTGAACCGTAGATATTATTGGGACCGGTCTTATTAGGACCGAGACGGACCGATCCAACCCTAGTAGCTACTGGTATTATAGCAGGCTTTCATTCTGCATATCGGCGAATTTGCGGAATTAAGGTCCATGTATTTTAACAATGCATTGTAAAGCCGACCCCAAAATTTTAGCTAATATGCATTCTGCAATTGTCAAAACCGGGGATATGGATTGGCTACCTATATACAGTATACAGTGCAAGCCGCAATCAACCAATCAAATTTAATAAACTGCTATACCATCTACCTACCATCTATATGCCACTTTATATCATTACTACCGGTGGAAGATAGCGCTACCTACTATTCACGTTTAAAAAATACGATACATAAATAAATCGTGTAACAAAAAACTGATATCAAAATTACGCGTGTAAAAATTTAAACCGCGGCGTGTTACGTAACACCTAGCATTCATTAAATTTAATTGGTGATACTACAATAATATATCCGATATTCAGATATTGTATTCTCCTGTTCTCTAAACATTTCAGATCAGACCTCTAATCGTAACCTTTTTGCAATTACGATTTTTTTAACTAGGTTCAATATTTAGAATACTACCATCTTGATATAAAAAGTTTGATCTGTAAAATACAATTAATTAGTGACGTACACAAAATTTGTACCTATCTCATACGTAGCAGATAGATCTCAAACGCTAATAATACGATTTTCAGCCTGCCTTATTATATTGTAAATAGCATTAAGTCCAATACTTATTAGCTCTAGCCTTGATTAAATTCTGTAGTTTTACAGGTCCAATAACAATATTAGTAACATGAACGTTACACTTTCGAAGTTTATTTATGAAACTGCCTTTTAGACAGTATAAATTTGTTTTCATAGTGTGAAACTTTTTACAATAAATAATACAATATGAAACTTTTAAATATTATGAAACATTTAGACCGGGCCGGCCAGCTAAATTTCATATATAAATTTTTTTAAATCTCATTCAGTTATTAAATTTTCCACAAAATTTTAGCACATATTATATATAACCTTCCCAATCTACTGCTAATATGCTAATAATAAAGAGCTGTTAGAAATGGCCTTATAATACAACCTTCCTAAATGGTTTTATTTCGTAGAATTTCACGTTACACGTGATCTGCAATCTGATTGGCTAAAACTTACTTTCATTCGAAGATTAACCTAATCTATAACAGATAAGGACTTGTATATTGAATCACTCGTGTAATTAGTGTGTTCATTAAACGTCTATTTGATAATCATAATATTTTAACTAAAACAAGGTTTAAAAAAACTAGTAAATCAATTTCGGAAATTTTAATTAATTATTTTTGAAACAGTATAGTTAGTAACCCTTATATGTGCTTATATGTGGTGTTTGGGTGTACAGATCCCCCCTATTCGTTTCTAATGCGCTTCCTTATTACTGGGCAAACTTTCCAAATTTATTTATATAAAATACTCTTAAAGAATGTTTTTTCCTTTTAGCTTTCTTTTTAACACCTCCCTGTCCTTCCTTCACCCCTTATAAAGCTTATTTATTCACTTTCTGTCTGGTCACAGAAAGTACGATTGTTAACGATAACGAAAAAGAGAGTCTCCTAAAAATACTGCAGCGCAGTGCTTTAAAAAAAAAAAAAATTGCACGTCTAGTTAAACCAGAATTTTTCACAGTAAATCACTGTAGAAAACACGTTCATTCCAATACAAAACTAACATAGCCATATCTAAATCACTTGTATTTCGTTCAAAGTACATATAACAATATAATAATTTTGGCAAAATGGGTAAACTTATTTGGAGTCAATGGGCTAGATTGATTGCTCTTACTGCCGGTGTTTGTAAGTCTTTTCAAGATAGTAGTATTTTACATTACTTTTGTTTTTTTTAGGCAAAATATGTAAGTCAAAAATTTTTATTTGTAGTTGAAACTATCGGTGGTATATTTGGTTTGTTCTATCGCATTTCTACGTTTGAACCCGTAACAAAGTAAGTTATGATTAATTTTGCAACAAAAATTTCTCAATTCCTACCCTGTAGTGCTTGGATCCGAATATAAAAAGGATAACGGATTTTAGTTTTGTAAAGCGGATAATAAATCCGGATTTTTATTTTAGTTGTTATAAATCCGGTTT